TGGAAACAAAGTCTTTGTAAATAGGGAAGGGTGGAGGGGGTGAAGGGAGGGCAGGGGAAGGGAAAAAAATAAGAAGCAAGATAGATTATGTAAAGGCACAGATTTCCAATGATGCATGTCATTATATTGTATACCTAAAATGTACTGATAAACTTAATGAAAAAAAAAGTTAAAAAAAGAAAATGAAGGTCAGGATATAAGCTATTTTCTTTTTGCAACTCAGGATCCATGTAGAAAAACTAAGAATGAGCATTCCTGGAGTTATTTTCAGTCCTTTAATCTATTAACTTCTTAGGACTGACTTTGGCAACCAGAGCCAGTGTTTCCAGATAGGCAAAACTTTGAGCATTTTTCCCTTTTATTTATTTCTTTCATTTCGCAACAGATGTTACGCTCAATTCTCTGGTGTCTGAAGCATTTGTGAGGTTTTTTGTGGAGCTGGTGGGACATTATTCTTTGAACATGACTGTCACTGAACGCGGGGAGCGTATATTCCAAAGGGATCCATTCCGTAAGTCCCACACATCCCGAAGCGTACGCCACTTCCTAGATCTCTTCATGGAGACTCAGATGTTTGCAGGATTCATCCAGGACCGGGAGCTTCGGAAAAGTGGGGTTAAAGGTCAGTTTCTATGATAGACTTCTCCCTCTTTACTTGATGAATTCTTTAAAGGTTTGAATATAATATAAACAACAAAAAAAATAGAAATAACACACTGGTAATGAGAACAATTTTATTTAGGTTCCATTCTTGTGTGTGCAACAGTTTCACCAATATGAATTTTCTTCCTAGGTTTGTTTGAGGTTCGGGCTCTCCAGTATTTGGAAACAATTCCTGAGTCTGAGCCTAGTGGGGTGAATAGAATTTTGCGGAGTCTTGGTGAGTTGCTGTGTTCTCCTGTTAGTTAAATCTGGCTGAACAAAAGCTTTGCAGTAACCAAGCTTCATCTCAAAGGCTTTGTAATCAGACAGCACTGTAAACTCAAGAAGGCTGACCAGAAATCCTGATCCTAGTTCCAACACATTTTGGAGAAAAAGTCTCAGAGGTTAGAATTCCCCATCAGCATGTTTATGGAGAGCGCTTCCCTGAGATGAAGATCTCTGAACTATCCCTTTATGGTATATTTCCATTAATAATCATATCATTATTATTCTTTTCTGGGTTATAGCCCTTGGAGAACCTCATAAAAAACCCTTTTCCCAGAAAAATACACTTATTATGACACAAATTTTGCATATAATTTTAGGGTGTTTGTGGACCCACCATCCAAACTTATCTATAAACTCCAGATTGGTTTATAGGGACTCTGAGACAAAAGAAGATATCTTGCTTTTACTTTTTTGTTTTTCAGTACCAGGGATCAAACTCAGGACCTTGCGCTTTCAAGGCAGGCGCAGTGCCACTGAGCCAAATCCCTGGCCCAAAAAAAGATATCTTCCAAGTCTTTAATTTTGCAATTGTTTAAGACCTTTCAGTTATGGTTATCCAGTATGATAGAAGAGAATAGTAGTGTGGCTAGTGCAAAATAACAAAGAACCTATATTCTATGGTATTTATACTAGTCTTTAAAATATATGCCCCTGGGCCAAGGATGTAGCTTAGTGGCACTGTGCCTGCCTAGCAAGCACAAGGTCCTGAGTTTGATTCCTGGTACCCAAAAATAAAAGGAACTCATAATATATAAAATATATACCCCTAATTAAGCCCTGTCCTTAACTGAGAAACCATGGACAAATTATGCTTCTTTCACTCCAGAAAATCTCAGGGCGTAAATCAGGTAATTTTAACCTGCAGTCAGGGTTGAAAACCACTATATTTTAGATTATGTCTAGCTTCTTTTCTCCCTCTACAGTTAAGACACTTCAGTGTTTTGGTGGCTGAACACATTAGCTGATTCCTTTGATATTTCAGCTTTTCGTTATTGTCAGAAAATACCTGAGATAATCAACTTAAAAAGAGAAAAGAAGCTGGGTATAGTGGCACACACTTGTAATCTCAGCATCCTGGGAGGCTGAGGCAGGAGGACTGTAAGTTAAAGCCTAGTCTGGGCAAATTAGCAAGACCCTGTCTCAGAAAATAAAAATGGGCCATGGATGTAGTTCAGTGCAAAGGACCTGTGCTCAACCCCCCCCCCCAGTACCACCAAAAAAAAAGAGGAAAGGTTTCTTTTGGCTCAACTTTAGAGGTTTTGTTCAAAAAAAAAGAGGAAAGCTTTCTTTTGGCTTATACTTTAGAGGTTTTGTTCCATGGTCATTTAGCCCCCATTGTTTGTGGGCCTATGGTGAGGCAGTACCTCATGGTAGGACTGTGTGGCAGAGGAAGACACTCATTTTATGGCAGCTCAGAAGCAAAGAGAGATAGGAAGTCCAGGGTCCCAGAATTCCTGGCAGGGGCACGACCCCTCAACATGGCCAGAGTTCCTTCCAGTAGGCCCCACCTCTTAAAGGTTCCAGACTTCCCAGTAGCGCCAGGCCGGAGACCAGACCTCTCACACATGGGCCTTTGGGGGATTTGAGATGGTAGCTTAACTCTTGGGCTGATCTGAATGACTAGCTGTTAATCTCTTGGCTCAAATAATATACAGTTAATGAAAATAAATGGAGAGTTCACTCTACCTTTTTCTTCTTTTAGGAACAAAAATGAAATTTTTGCAGAAGAAATGAATCTTTGTCTCCATCTTAAATAGAATGAAAAGTGCCAAAGAAAATGTTTCACTGAGTGTCAGGATGCCTTTGAAGTATTCTACAAAATCTTTAAAATTTTAAAAGGTTAAGCAGCAGCTCCAAGTTCTCAGAGGAGGAGTTCCTTTTGCTGCGGCACAGTCACTGGAGAACTGTTGGAAGTAACTGGAACTGATGCTTTCTACTGCCGCCAACATGTTTTTCACTGTGGCCTTTTCTATTTGATTCTTGGGCTCATTCTCTGTGTTATATGCTTAGTCTGTGACAGCCATTGTCTTTACAAGGGAAAGGCTGTTACCGAATATTTTTTAAAATAAAAAGCTTAAAGATGAGTCTAATGAAAGAAAGGCTGGGTTTGGTGAACTAGAGAGACGTGATTGAAATGGCAGAGATTAGCCTTACACACATAATTCTCATCACTGAAATACCATGGCAGCTTTAAACCTATGGGCTAAAAAGCTGGGCTCTTCGGCACATACCTGTAGTTCCAGCTACTTGGGAGGCTGAGGCAGAAAGATCACAAATTTTGAGTCCACCCTGGGCAACAGAATGAGACCTTGTCTCAAAATAAAAATGTTGGTAAAGCCATGGGTTGTTTGAAGTTTCATCATTTATCTTGTTTTGTCTAATATCCTATCAAGGGGAATCTCTCTTATGTGGAAGCCCTTGTTATCAGATATTTATAAAAGAAGACGTGTTGTAGCTCCTCCACAGTGTGTGACCCTTGAATCAGCTTGTCCCTCACATGTCATTATTACACTTTGCATATTATAGCTAATATAAAAATATCCTTTCAAGGACATGGGAACTACCTTTTTTGTATGTGTTCACCATTTGGTGTGCATCGTGGTATATGTATATATGTCATCTTATTCAAGCCTTAAGTCAACTCTATGAGAGAGATATTTCCATCTCCATTTTACTGATGATGAAGAAACTAAGTCAAAGAGACTACTTAGCCAGTTATATAATTCAGATATATGTGAAGCAAAGACTTTATTTTATGAACACAAAAACTCGTTTAGAAATGTAAATATGAACTCTGTAGATTGTAGCTATTTGAAAGGTTTTCTGTTAAGTGTACCAGAGCCACCTCTCAGCTCTTAGGATAAAGGACTTTAGACTACAAGCACCTAGATGAGGCTTCCTCCCCCTGCCCCCTTTTGGGTGTGCTGGGAGTAGAATCCAGGTTTTTGCACACGCTAGGCGAATGCTGTACCACTCAACTATACTCCCAGTGTTAGACTTTTCTTTTTTGACAGTACTAAGGACTGGACCCAGGGCCTTTGCATTGAGCTACACATCACCAGCACCTTTTCATTTTGAGGCAGGGTCTCACCAAATTGCCTAGCCTGGGTTCCAACTTTTGATCCTCCTGCTTCAGCCTCCCAAAGTGCTAGGATTACAGTTACGCACCACCACACCCGACCCACTGTGAAATTCCCTTAAAATTGTTGGACTTTTGCTTTAATTAAATGTGACTCAGAATATGAACATTTCCTGAGCATATACCACAACCACCCAGATCTTTAATATCTAAAGCAGCAGTAGTGATAAAGGGGTTTGTCAGTGATGTGATATTCGTTGATAAGTGTTATAGGAAATGTCAGCTTTTCTTTAACTTTTGTTAATGGTTTTAACTGGTAAAGAATATATTCAAATTTATAAAACCTTTTAAATTGTATTGTCATAACAATTTTTTGACTTGTATAGTATTGTCAATAAAAGCCCATCAAGTGTGCTTAAATGAGTCTGAAGCAGACACCACTTAAAACTGGTGCTGTGTAATATAGTTCTACAGATGCAGTTCCAGGGACCAGAACTGGGCCTGTGTCTTTTAAAATGATTAAGCATCTTACCCAAGTGGGGCATCTGTCAAACGTCTCCCCATTTGGTCTCTTACACTCCAGGAACAATTAGTGATTGAGGGTTTATAAAATGGGGACAGGAGGGTTGACTGGGGGATCCTGTCTCCCTCTGCAAGGAGGCTTTACTTCAGGGATGAGAGTGTGATATTCTCCCTGTGATCCGAAGCTGCTTCCTTTCCTTGTGTCTGTTGTGTTTTGATTTTTGTAAAGTATTGTGAATTCTGAATGTTTGTAAAAGAACTGCTTGAGAATTGCATAAAATGTTTACAGATCTTTTAATGAATAAATACATAAGTCTCACAGATCTCTTGAGGAATTTGAAGTAAATTGCTTAAGATGTAAAGATCTTTTATGTCACTTAAATGTATGTATAGGTAGCACATTTACCTAATGGTAAATCAGAAAGATAATCTGAATGCATCTTAAACTAACAGGTTTAGTAACTGTGGCCAGCGTTTCCAGGCTCTCAGCACAAAGGCTAGATTGACTGGACACTGGGCAGAGTATTCTAACGATTTTTTTTTTTTTTAACCTGTTTAGTAGAAGGGAGGCTGCTTAGTTGGGGAGCTAGTGGAAAACGGGCACTGCAGCAGCTTGAGTGGTTGGGAGGCAAGGAAGGGAGCTAATGCTACCATTAAGTCCTAAAGGCAAAGTCACTGGGTTTTCTAGACTCCCTAAAGGCAAAATGGCAAGGCTTTTAAAGGTGAGGTGAGGTGCAGACCGTTATCAATCTCGCCTTACAGGGCAATTCAGATTCTTTTTGTTAGGAAGACCTTAAAGCTTCGCAGTTCTAATATTTTAACTTACCCAGGAGAAAAATTTTCAGGGTACCGAGTGAGGATAATTGGGATACACCAAGAAAATGAGCGAAACTTGGCACAGTGGCAGAGAGGAAGAGGTGCTGGTGGAGGTGTTGGGTTAAAGAAGTAACTCGAGGTTGGAAGCCAGTTTAGGGATTTTTTGGTTATTTTTTGAAACAGTTATCTCCCAATTCAGGCTGACCTTGAACTCACTATATAGCTCAGGCTGGCCTTAAACTCGCACCGATCCTCCACTTTCAGCCTCCCCATTGCTAGGATTACAGGCATGCGCCACCATACCCAGCAGAAACCAGTTTTTCTCTTCCCGACATATCTTGTATTTTTGTTGTTGGTTTGGTTTGGTTTTTTGGGGGTTTTTTTGGTACGGGGATCGAACTCGGGACCTTGCACTTGCGAGGCAGGCGGCGGAACGACTGAGCTAAATCCCCGACCCATGGTTTTTCGTTGTTTTTGAAAAAGGGTCTCGCTATGTAGTTCAGCCTGGCCTTGAATTCACTACGTAGCCCAGGCTGGCCTCGAACTCGCGGCGATCCTCTTGCCTCAGCCTCCCAAATGCAGGGATTACAGGTGTGCGCTACTATGCTCGGCTCTTCCACATAACTTGCAACCAATTTCTTCCACAAGCTTTAAAAGGCTCTCCCAGGTCTCAATCTCTTGGAGGAGACGAAAAATCCCAGTTCCACCGGAATGCTGCCATCCATAAGCCGCAAAAAAAGGGCTTGGCCAAAGAAAGGAAGATGGGGCCTGCGGCGGACTCCGGGACTTCCGGCGAGACGTCACGTCCGTCTAAAACAAAACCCGGCAGTTTCTAGCGGCCGGGCTAGCGCGCCTACAGGATTAGGAATTGAGCATGCGCCAAAATCGCCGCGCAGGCGACGTGATTACGAGACACTGTCGGGCGCCGCCGTACTTAAAACCGATCCTTTCCAGACTCAAAACGCAGGCGGGAGTACGTTCTGTGCCATGGCGGGCACGGGGTTGGTGGCCGGAGAGGTAGTGGTGGATGCGCTGCCATATTTTGATCAAGGCTATGAGGCTCCAGGCGTGCGGGAAGCGGTGAGTTCAGGGTGTCTGTGTAGCTGACGGCGCTCGCTGGCCCACGGCCGGAGGAGGCACCGTGTGGTATTTGCTGCCCCTACCACTGCCCGTGTTCTCGTTGTTAGGCTGCGGCTCTGGTAGAGGAGGAAACTCGCAGATACCGACCTACCAAGAACTACCTAAGCTACTTAACAGCCCCGGATTATTCTGCTTTCGAAGTAAGTGTGGTGCTTTGAGCCGAGCTTGCGAACGAGGATTCCTGTGAACCTTTAGCTACGTAGAAGTGAGGGGTGTGTGTGTGTGTGTCTGGGTGGGTGTGTTTGAAACGGGGTCTCACTTTGTAGTTCAGGCTGGCCGCGATCCTCCTGCCTCAGCCTCCCGAGTGCTGAGATTACAGGCGTACACCACCAAGCCCGGCGAGGTGTTGTTTTTTATTTTTTGTGGGGTTTTTTGGTACCGAGGATCGAACTCGGGTCCTTGAGTTTGAGAGCCGGGCGGTGGAAACACTAAGCTAAATCCCCGGCCCCTAGGTGTTGTTTTAAAAATAATTCCAGCCTAAATATTATTTGCTTAGCTTCTATTTACATGTCTTATAGGTATCCATCTATTGGCAACAGCTAGATAGGCCTTCTTCAAGGTTCTTATTGAGATACAGAAAAGGACTTATACAGGCTCCGCGAACTCTTAATGCAAAATTTTCTGTAGTTGTTTTTTTTTTTTAAGATAGAATTCATGTGTAAATTTTGAAAGCAGTCCTCTAAGGTTCACAAGAGATCTAGGGTTTTTAATATACATATAAACGTATTTGTCAATGGTCTTTAGAACCACTAGGGGAGGCTTTTGTATCAAAGCTTAGATATTTACCAAATGGATGTGAAAGACTGAACAAAGCAGTATCTAAGTATGTACCTTTTAAAATATTTGACCTAGAAGTATAGCCAAGATACTAAATAACCAAATGAAAATATTTGACCTAGAAGTATAGCCAAGATACTAATTAAGCCAAGTGAAATATAAAATATCATCTCTAAATTACTTTATTCAGTGGTAGTCTCTACCCATGTTCCTTTTCGATTGTTTGCAAGGAGCAAAGTCTGAAAATAGCCGCCAGGATCAAAAAGAAGTATAGAAGGGCCGGGGATTTAGTTCAGTGGTTCTGCTGCCTGCCTCACAAGCTGAAGGTCCTGAGTTCAATCCCCGGTACCAAAAAAACCCCCAAAAGAATGCATTGTCTAACAAAAAGAAGTATAGATTTAGGCTCATAAGCTGAAAGATTATTTTATGCCTTAAGACCTCTTCTCTCTTCCACTGTCAAAAAGTACTTAGGTCCACGGTTCTGTACACTGGCTTCCTTTGACAATTAACTTGTGAGTTAAAGACAAACATAAGACAGGAGCAACCCCTAGGTTCAATCCTCAGCACCACTGTTTAAAAAAAAAATTATAAGTATGCCCAACACCTGCCCCCCTCAGACCAGTTAACTGGGAGTGAGAGGAGTGAGATAGGGCTAGGATTACAATTGGTTTCATAACTTCCCAACTGATTGCAGTCTGCTGCTGAGATTGAAAAGGTTTTAGGATTGATCCTTTCCTCTGTGGCCTCCTGTATTGTGTATACCAATTTTCTTGCCCAGACTAAGTATGGAATTGAAGTTTGTGTTTCTTCAGATTGTAAAGAGCATTTAACCCAGGGAAGAATTGAGGAATTGCTGGATATAGCAGTAGTATAGCTCAGGGGGGTGTGGGGATGTAGCTCAGCAGCACAGTGCCTGCGTGGCCTGCGAGAGGTCCTGAGTTCCATCCCTGGTACCCCCCCCCAAAAAAAGAAAAAATAGCTCAGTGGTGGAGCAATCCCCAGCACGGAAAAGAAAAAGAGAAGCTGGATATGGTGGCACATGCTGTTATCCCAAAACCCTAGGGAGCTGAGGTGGGAAGATTGAAGGTTCAAGCCCAGCCTGGGCAAGTTAGCAACACTTTCTCAAAATAAAAAGGGCTATAATGGGTAGTATAAACCATAATAAGGTTAAATTCTTATTTTTTTACTGATAATTTCAGTTTGTTGATATAATCTTGGAAATAATTCTCTGATTTATATATCAGACTGACATAATGAGAAATGAATTTGAAAGACTGGCTGCTCGACAACCAATTGAATTGCTCAGTATGAAACGGTAAGAATATTAAAATTTCATTTGTAATAACTCAATAATGACTTGAGACTTAGGAAAAGTGTATTTGCTAACTGTATCAGTGATGTGAAGAGAGAATAGAATGGGGTGTAAATGCATATTTTTGCATTTTCTTCTCTTTAAAAGGGTGTGGGTGTTTGACACAAACGGCAACAAAGTTTTTTGTGTCTTTTTCCTTTACTATTAAATATTTCTCAGTAACTTTTTTTAAGACATGGTGACAGGTACAGGAACCACTCTAACCGAGTTGTGTAGCTGGGAAAAGGAATTGGACTCACCGGGTATGGTGGCACATACCTGTAAGGCCAGCACTCGGGAGCCAAGAGAAGTGCTGTCTGTGAGTTTGAGGCCAGGATGAACTACATAGCAAGACCCTGTCTCACAAAATAAAAAAAAAAAAGAAAAGAAATTGGACTCAACTTCCAGTAACATCATTTAATAGCTAATATGACAGTCTTTTATGTGAACATAATATAGTTTATCTAATTCACATTGAATTTTTTTATTGCTGTATATAATGGTGCTAAACCTTGTTTGTAAATTGTTTCTTAGGATAATAGGTTTATTTTGGTTTTTGAGACAGGGTCTCACTGTGTAGCTCAGGCTGGCCTTGAATTCACTATGTAGCCCAGGCTGGCCGCAAACTCAACGATCCTCCTGCCTCAGCCTCCTGAGGGCTGGAATTACAGGCGTGCACCACCATGCATGACAAATAGGTTTCTTTTTATTGCAAGATCTCCATCTGATCTTCTGTAGGTTTTTTTTGTTTGTTTTTAATAGTGTGTGGAGACCCATGGGTTATTCTGTTGGTAGGAAGGATATTGGTATGGCAGGATGTGTGATTTAATTTTGTTTTGTTGTATAATTTCAGATATGAGCTTCCAGCCCCTTCCTCGGGTCAGAAAAATGACATTACTGCATGGCAAGAATGTGTAAACAATTCTATGGCCCAATTAGAGCACCAAGCAGTACGAATTGAGAATCTGGAGCTAATGTCACAGCATGGATGTAATGCCTGGAAAGTATATAACGAGTAAGAAACTTCCTTCCCTTTTTCCTTCGTCTTTCCCTTCCATCCCACCCAAAGGTTTATTTTTTAAAATTGTAGGAGGCACAGTATTAGAAATGGGGCAAAAATAGGGCTGGGGATTTGGCTCAGTGGTTCGGCCACCTGCCTCACAAGCGCAAGGACCCAAGTTTGATCCCTGGTGCCAAAAAAAACAAAACAAAACTGGGACTAGAAATGGGGTAAAAATAATATCACTAGATTTGATTCAAGATCTTATCTGAGAACTGTACTCAGATGAAAAGCCACTGCTTGGAGACTTGCTTCAAAGTTCAAGATTGCTAAGGGGACCTGACCTGACTACCCTATTGACTCTGTAATAATATTGTAAAAAAATGAGTTTTGAGGGCTGCTTTACCAATCACCACCTCATAGAGTGTAATTTTTAATATGGGAATTGCTTATACAGTTGATTCTCATTATTTACATTATGTTCTTTTTGATTTTTTTAAGACAGGGTCTTGCTAAATTGCCCACACTGGCCTGGAACTTGTAGTCTTCTGCCTCCGCCTTCCAGAGTGCTAGGATTACAAGCATCTGCCACCATGCTTGGCATGTGTTAATCATATTCTTTAACGATTCCTTGAACACTGAATTAATAAATACTTTCTATTTCTTCACACACATCTCACATAGATTATAATCTTAAATTCTAAAAACAACTGGGCCGGGGATTTTGCTCAGTGGTTCTGCTGCCTGCCTTGCTAGCACAAGGTCCTGAGTTCACTCCCTGGTACCAAAAAAAAAGAACTTACCTTGGTAGATTTTATTTTCTTTATGAGAAAAAACAAAGCTCAGAAGTATAAAATGCTGTGGTAGGGGCGGGATTTAGCTCAGTGGTTTTGCTGCCTGCTGCGCAAGCACAAGGACCCAACTTTGATCCCTGGTACTAAAACAATAATAATAATAAAATAAAATGCTGTGCTTGAGGCAGCCTCACTAACAGATGCCAGTTTAGAACTTAAGCTCCGTCCTCTGCTCATCTCTGAATGAGAACTGAAACAAGAAGGCAGAGCATCTCCTTGCACAGCCTGAGCTGGGAATATGGTTCAGCAACTTAAGCTGTTCATCGGTGTGCACACATTCACGGGTGATGGCAAAGCACGGCAGACAGTGATTAGGAATTATAAATACCTTAGAGAAGACTAATCAATGTAGAATTTGTAAATAAGAATCAAAATTGTAAATAGTTAACATCAGAAAGGATTTTGCTGCAGAACAAGCCACTGAACTCCAATTTGTTTTTTTTTAAGTACTGGGAATTGACCCCAGGTGCTTCTGAGCTACTTCCCAGCAAACCTCCTCTCCCTTGTTTTTTATGTACTGGGGATTGAACCCAGGGCTTTCACACTGAGCTATATCCTTAGCCATTCATTCGTTTGGTTATTTATTTATTTATTTATTTATTTATTTATTTATTTTTGGTGCCGGGGATCAAACTCAGGTCCTTGCACTTGTGAAGCAGGCGGTGAAACCACTGAGCTAAATCCCCGGCCCATCGTTTGGTTTTTTGAGACGGGTCTCACTACATGTTTCAGACTGGCCTTGAACTATGTAACCTTGGTTGACATCAAGCTCCTGGTAATCTTCCTGCCTCAGTCTCCTGAGTGCTGAGATAACAGGCATACACCACCATGCCCAACTTCCTTTTCAAGTAAAAAAGACCATTGAACCAACGATCATGTGGAAAACTTGGTTAGACTGTTTCGTGAAACATAACAGTATAAAACAGGGCACAAAATGGTAGGTGTCTTTTTTTCAGATCTTCAAAATTATGTTTTAAATCCCTATAATCATCCAGTGGACAAAATCCAGAATTTGGGAAACTACAGGATAAATAGGGGGTTTTTTTGGTAAGGAATTGTAAAAAGAAAGAAAGGAAGAATAGAAACACATCAGTCAAGAAAATTATATTTCACAAACTGAAATGAAGGGAGAGGGTTGGACGTTTGGAAGAGAGCAAGAATATTCCAAGGATGGGAAACAGATGCAGGGGGGACCATTAGATTGAGGAGAGCGGTGCTTTCCAGTTTGCTCTGTCTTCCCCGATTGAGATTCTGCCTGCAGTAGTCTGTCTTCTGAGTAACTAGCTGCTGTGCTCATCACTCCATTTACTCAGATTGTGCTCTGCTGGGAAACACCTTCCGCCATGTTTATCTCCTCTGAACCCAATGGACACTACGCTGGAGGTGTTGCACTACATTTTATCAAAGTAAATTTAAGCCCGAGGATAGAAAGGAAGAGAAGGCGATAAGCTAAACCTTCAGGGAAAGTCAATTCAGAGGATAGGAAAGGAAAGTTTCTTTTTAATGGTGAAAGGCCAGGAATAGAGCTCTGAAAGTGATGGTCTCAACTTGGAGTGATTGTTGAAGGCATGGAAAGGCAGATGAGCCGAGGGCTAGAAAGGCATATTCATATCAGATACTGTCCATCTTCTTAATTAAAAGAAGTCAAGACGAGCTGGGAGCCAGGCGTGGTAGCACACACCTGTAATTGCAGCACTGGGGAGGCTGAGGCAAGAGGATTTTTCTGAGTTCAAGGCCAGCCTGAACTACAAAGCACGACCCTGTCTCAAAACAAAAATTATAGCATGTAATCAGCACAAAGAACTCTATTTACTATTTTTAGCAGAAAAACTTGACTTTGTATGAACTAGGTATTTAATACTTAGTTGGTGTTATTAGATTTTAATGTACATTAGTCTGATTTTCCTCTTTTCCTTCTTCAGAAATCTAGTTCATATGATTGAACATGCACAAAAAGAGCTTCAGAAGTTAAGGTAAATTGCTTTTTCCTATTTTTTAGAATGCAGTTTAGGTGAACCCTTAGTGTTGGGGGAGCAATAAGACTACAGTTATGAAAGTCAATAATTGATCCACTGTTTGTCCAGCACCTGGCACTGAATTTGCCCTGTCTGAATAAAGGAAAAATGGCTTGAGGTCTGAAAACATCACTACTAGACATTTACAACTTGCAGGTCTGCAGACATAAAAAAGTCACTGTTAAGGGAGGGAAAGGGGGAGCATTGCAGAATAACACTGATTTAATACAAAAAACGAATAACTTGATTTATACAAAAAAACCAATGCCTGCGTACACATGTGTATGGGAACAGATCTGGGAGGATGCCACTTATCTTACTTCATTTTGTTTTGCTGGTGATACATTACCACAGACCAGGCGAGTGTTAGAGGAGAGATTTGTTTTGGCATACAGTGCTGGAGGTCCCAGGTCAAGGGCTGAGTCTGCTGATCACCTCCTTGGTAGCAGAGTTCCGACGTGGTGCGGGGCATCACATGGCAAGTCAGGGAGCCTCCATATCTGTACGTGTATGTTCTAGGCTTTCTCTGTCGCTAGAAAACCACCAGTCAGTGACCTTATCTAACCCTAATCACCTCTGAAAGGCTCACCCATATCCCGTATAGTTGGGATAATGTTTCACCCTTATAATACCTCACAGTGGGAGTTAAACTCCAACATGAGTTTTGGAGGGGAAAAACCCACAAAGAATAGCACCCTCCAGAAATTCAGTTAGCAGGAAGGAGAAGTGTATGTCAAGAAGGAGTTGTGATTTGTGATCTGTGTGTGTGCTTGGGTGTGGGTTTTTAAAAATTCTGTTTTGTTTGGTTGTAGAACTAGGGATTGAACCCAGGGCCTCATGCATGTTTAGTTAAGCATTCTGCTACTGAACTATATCCCTTAGCCCCCTCACTTGTAAAAATTTTACGTATTTGTTTTATTTTGTTTGGAGACAGGGTCTCACTCTGTAATTCAGGCTGGCCTTGAATTTCCAGGAATCCCTCCCAAGTGCTGGGATTACAGGCATGCACCACCACGCCCAGCTAAAATTTATTTTAAGACAGGATCTCACTGAGTTCCCCAGATGGTCCTTGAATTCTCCATCCTCTTGCTTCAGCCTCTTGATTAGGATTACAGGCATGCAGCACTGCACTGTTTGAGTGTTTTTTTATTTTTCTCAATGAGCATATTTTCTGAAATCTGTAATTGAAAAAATAATTAGAAGAAAGCTAATTCCTAGAATTAGTCTATAAATTATGTATATATCTTTTAAGGAGATTAAAGGTACTATCTGGTATAGTTTTTTTTTTGTTGACTTTAGTCTTATATTAAAATGTAGTTGGGTTGTATAAATATCTTTTTATAGGAAACATATTCAAGATTTAAACTGGCAGCGGAAAAACATGCAACTCACAGCTGGATCTAAATTGAGAGAAATGGAGTCAAAGTGAGTATCTATAATTCCATCATATTTTAAACTGCTTATCCCATTCAAAGATCAGAATTTGATAAGATTCTAAGAGTATTCATATGGGATGCCACAGATGTCAGAGAACTGCTTTCTTTTATTTTTTTCTCTTGTGTTACTGAGAAATGAACCCAGGGCCTGCACACTGAGCTATATTTCTAGCTCCTCCCTACCCTCCGGCCACCCCGTTTTTTAAGACAGGGTCTCACTGAATGGCAGAGTTGCCCAGGAAGGGTTCAAACTTGTGACCCTCCTGCCTCAGCCACCCAGAGTACTGGGATTACAGGCATTCATCACCAAGCCTGGCTGCAGAATGCCTCTTTCTTTCTCTTTCTTCTTAGTGCCTCAGTTTTCCTTTAATTTTTTTTATTTTTATTTTTTTTGGTACTGGGGATTAAACTTGGATCCTTGCGCTTGTGCAGCAGGCGGCAAAACCACTAAGCTAAATGCCTGGCCCACCTTTAATTTTTTTTAAATGAATTTTATTTTATCCCATTCCCCCCAAGCTCCCTCCCCCCATTATGTACAAAAGCTTTGTTTCTATTTTTTCCTTCTATTTTCACTTCTTTCTTGTCCTTTCCTTCCTTTCTCCCTCGCTCCTCCCTTGTTCCCCTTCCCATTTGAACACTTTCTTCCCATTTCCCAGCATCCATTATATAATTCAGTCCTTATTTCCACTTTCAGTTTCTCACACCAGAGAGACAATGCGGTATTTAAATATGTGTGTCCGATTTATAAAAGTATGGTCTCGAGGTCCATCCATTCAGCTATAAATGTCTGAAGCTCATCCTTCTTTATGCAAAATGCTGTTTTCTGAATCTGCCCCTTTCTGAAATGTAGACATAGAAAACAATTAGAGAGTTATAAAGAATTGAAGCTGGGAGTGGTGGTACACATCTGTACTCCCGTCTCTCAGGTAGCTGAGGCAGGAAGATCGCCCTGAGTTCAAGGCCAACCTTGGCTACATAGTGAATTCAAGGCCAGCCTGAAATATATAGCAAAATTCTGTCTCAAAAAAAAAGAAAGAAAAAAAAATTGAACCGCTGCTAAGGATCTTGGTCTTAGGATACCCTCTTTTTAGTCTAGCTTTCTGGCTCAGGCTTTTTGGTTTGGTTTGGTTTGTGTTTTTATTGTCAGTACTAGGGATTGAACCCAGGGCCTCACACATGTTAAGTGGGTGCTAAGCTATTTCCCCAGGCTTCTTGTTTGCTTTCTTTTCTTTGCTAAATTTTCTAATGGTGGTACTGGGGATTAAACTCAGGGCCTCATGCACCCATGCTAGGCACACACTTTGCCACTGAGCTACATCACCAGACCTTTTCATTTCTTAGTTTGGGACAGGTTCTTACTAAGTTGCCCCAGAATGGCCAAGGACTTGTATCCTTCCTGCTTCACCCCTGGTTAGCTGGGATTACAGGCATACACCACTGCATCCAACTCCAGCCCTACTTTTTTTTTTTTGGTGCTGGGGATCGAACTCGGGACCTTGTGCTTGGGAGGCAGGCATGATGCCACTGAGCTAAATCCCTGGCCCTTCCAGCCCTATTTTTGAATTGCCCTTTTTTTTTTTGGTACCGGGTATCGAACTGGGGCCCTTGTGCTTTCGAGGCAGGCATCGGAACCACTGAGCTAAATCCCAGCCCCTCCAGCCCTATTTTTAAAACAAAAGAAATTCATCCTTTTTAAAAATCTTCTAGGATGAAAAATTCCATGTTTTGCTTGATAATTTATGCCTTAGTTTTTTCTCCTTTGTTGACACATTTTTCCTTTTAAATCTTCTATATATACATGATTTGTGCAGATGCCTATATATGTAATAGTGAAATCTTGTCATTTCTCTTCTCTGTTATTTTTTCCCGCCTTTCCTCCCCTCATCGCCTGTATCATTCTCTTCGTTTTGGCCTCCTTTCCACTTCCATTTCCCTGTGTTACCAATCTCTTATGCATCACATTTTTCTGCACACCGGTAAGTGTTACTTTTTAGTCCATCTTGAGATTCTTCTCCGTTCTTCTATAACTATTATCTTTGCCTTGTTTTCTCTTAATGTTCTTTCATTACTCTTTCCTTTCTCGTCTGTTTTACAGAGTCTCTCTGCTGGTGTTTCTACTTATTTTTAATTAAACTTCTTATTTTGAGACAACTGTAGCTTCACATGCATTTGTAAGAAATAATACAGAGATTCTATGCCCTTCACCTGCTTTCCCACAGCATGCCTAAGGTTTTTTTTGGGGGGGTGCTTTTTTTAGACAGGGTCTCACTTTGTAGTGCAGACTGGCCTGGAACACACTATGGAGCCCAGGGTGACCTCAAACTCGAGGCAGTCCTCCTGTCTCTGCCTCCTGGATGCTGGGATTATAGGCATGTACCACCTTGCCTGGCTGTACCTAAGTTTTTGGTTTTTTGTGGGGTTTTTTTATACCGGGGATCAAACTTGGCTCCTTGCGCTTGCGCAGCAGGCAACAAAACCACTGAGCTAAATTCCTGGCCCTGTACCTAAGTTTTTAAAATGGAAAGTTAAAAGTGTTATGGCAATGAGTAAAACCATATATACATTTAAAATAAAATCTTTTAAGAGAAATTTTACATTGAATAATTTTTTCCTTTTTTCTTCCCTTTCTAGTTGGGTGTCCCTGGTCAGTAAGAATTACGAGATTGAACGGACTATTGTGCAACTAGAAAATGAAATCTATCAAATTAAGCAGCAACAGGGAGAAGCAAACAAAGAAAACATCCGGCAAGACTTCTGAAAAGACTAACTTGCTGAGTAGAAAGGAAGAAAAGTTGGGCTCTTACAAACATCAGCCATCTAAACTATCCCTGAACCATGAAGGACAACAGCTTCTCACAAAAACCATTCGTGGGTAAATGTTTAGAAACCATAATGTATGGATTATTATAATAATTGTATCGAGAATCTTTGTGAAATAAAAGTTATCAACTTGGTATTTTTAGAGCTATAAAAAACTCAAGCTTTCAAAATAAGTATGGCTTTGGAATAATACTGTTATAGAATTAATACATATATATAGCATTAATTTTTTTTTTTGTACCGGAGATCGAACTCGGGTCCTTGCGCTTGCGCAGCAAGTGGCGAAACCACTGAGCTAAATCCCCGGCCCCCAGTATGGCATTAATTTTGAGCTGCTGGGCCGGCCGTATTTTGTAGCTGAGTGGATATGTTGGCTGCAACCAGCAAGACCATAAGGTTGGGGCTCTATGAAAGCAGCTCTCGTAAATGACAAATTACTAAGGCACATAGTTCTGATTCTTTAGGCTGAACGTACTTGGAAATTTTGTCCTGTTAATCACAACATGCCTGTCTTGTTCATAAATAACTACAGTACATTATGTTTGAAGGTGGGTCCAGCAAGGCTCAAAGAAAACAGGTTTATGTAACACGGGTATGTTTTCCCTTTCTGCTGCTCTTTCCCCCTTCTTCATTTTTCCTTTATGCTCCAGTCATCCATTATTGCCCAGGTTTTTTGTTTGTTTGTTTGATTTTTTTTTGGTACCGGGGATTGAACTCGGGTCCTTGAGCTTGCAAGGCAGGCAGCGGAACCACTGAGCTAAATCCCCGGCCCAAATTGCCCAGTTTTAATACCCTTCCTCCTCTGATGATTCAGTCCTAAAATTATGTGGCACAGAGCAAAGTAGATATCCATGTATAAGCTTCCCAGAAGCGGGGAGACTTGCTTATAAGGGATCAAGAATCAGTATCCTCAGGATTCTCAACAGCAGCTCTGGAAGCTAGAATGAAGGTAACAGAGGTGCATCAGAATGCTTAAGACAATTTCTTTCCAACCTAGTACTACATACTCAAGTCATCAGTCTAAGGTGAGAGTAGAATAACCGTGTTTAGCCATGTGAGATCTCAAAGTCAGTACCTTCCAGAGTATTGTTGTTCAAAGGAACTGCTGCAGGATCAGTTCATGGCATAGTAAAACTTCTTCCACGGAGATTGGTGAAGGAGAATCTCAGGATTGTAGGCACTGTGTTCTTCGAGAAAGGAAGCCAGTTCAGACTCAGGAGAGCTGCCCTCACAGAGATGACCAGTACTGCTGCACCATCTCTGCACACTGAAACAGTGCCTCGAGAGGCTGGCCCATGTTCCGACCTATGCTTGGTTTGTTCTCATCTTGGCCTGAGGAAGCCCCATAACCTGGAGTGTGCTGTGGCCTATTCTTGGAATGCTTTCGGTAGAAAACTCAAGTTGATTTCTGACCTTAATTCCCACCAACTGCACAGTCTTCTAGCCTCACCAGAAACCTGAACAGTGCTAAAGCCCTCAATTCCCAGAATGTAGTCACAGCTTCGTTCCCTGCCTTCCCTGGAATAGGCTCCGCAGCTCAGAGAAGCTGAGGCCAGGCCATGATCTGTTGTTTAGCTTGGTTTTTTTCCTCAAGGACCTTCATCCAACCATAGAAATAGGTCTTTTCTTACATCGTGAAGCTGTGTTTGCTTCACAGCTTTTATAATAAGTACCTTTCATGTTCATTTTAATGTAGATAGTTACAGTAGGCTGAATAATGGCCCCTAAAGATGGCGACATCCAATACCTGAGACCTGTGAATGTGTTACTTTTTCCAGGGCAAATAGAGGAGTTTGTAGATGTGATTGAATGAATGCTCCTTAGGTAGGGGGATTATCCCAGATTATCTGGGGAGGCCCAGTATAATTGCCACCGTCTTTGCAGAAGGGAGGTGGGAGGACAGAGGAGGGACAATGCTACTGCTGCCTTTGTAAATGAAGAAAGCTACAAACCAAGAAATGCAGTAACTTCTAGAAACTGGAAAAAACAAGGAAACAAACCTGTCAGAGTGTTCTTCCCTGGAAGAAACAGTTTTGTAGGCTTGTGACTTCCAGACCTATAAAGCAGTATTTTTTTGCTTTAAGCCTCTTCATTTGTGATATTTTGCTGTAGCACCAGTAGAAAACATGCAATAACTGGTAAATAATAAATGCTTGATTAAAATAGTAAAAAATATCTTTTTTAGGGGCAATTCAGAAATGCAGGCAAAAAGAAGAAAATGAAAATTATTCATAAACCTGCCACTCAAAGATAGCCACTGTTTATCAGAAGGTACTTTTTTGTTTGCGTTTTGGGGATTGACTCCAAGGCCTTCACACTGTGCTACAGCCCCATCCCTTTTGTTTGTTTGTTTGTTTTTCCTTTTTTCCTTTTTTATATTGAGGCAGAGTCTTGCTAAGCTGTGCAATTGTCCAGGATAGGCTCGAAATTTTGATCCTCTTGCCTCAGCGTACCAGAGTGCTGAGATAACATGCATGTGCTACCATACCCAGCTCAGAAAGTACTTTTTATTTGATTCCAGAAGAACATGTAATTGTAGATAAAAACCTCATATTTTATTTATTTCTAGTACAAATTTGTTGGATACCATGGAATCAAAGATAAATAAAATGGGAGATAGGGATGTAGCTCGGTGGTAGAGCACTTGCCTAGCATACTCAAGGCCCTGGGTTCCATAATCAGCACTGAAGAAGAAAAAAGAACATAAGATGAGCTAATGGAACATTGTGTAAACTTAGTTCTGAATGAAAGCTTATACATGTTTCAATTTGATTTGGACTCTAAGGACCAGCACTTACTACATTAGATCCTCTTTGCTTCCTCTATTCTTAGAAAGTACTTCTGCACATTCAAACTGATTTGTAGTGACAGAAAGCTAACTAAAACTACCTTATGGAATGAAAGGAGATTTATTGGTTCATTTAACTGGTGAGAGCAGAGGTGAAACTAATTGCAGGGTAAACTAAATTCAGGGATTTAATGTTATCTTGCTTTCCATTTCTCCTTTCCTAGATTTATTTCCTCCCGCCTATAGGCATTAGGAGTCAAAGTCACAGGCAGTTCCAGACTTAAATCATCTCTGTGATCTTAGAGATTGGCAGGTTGGCCAGGCCTGAGTCAGGTTATCTTCTTGTGGTCTTAGGGATAGTGCACTGTCTTAATTCCCTTTCTCATTGCTGAGACAAAATACCCAACAGTATCAGCCTCCAAAATGCTGGGATCACCAGCATGCACCACTATACCTAGTGTGAGACTTTTTTTTTTTTGAGACTATTAAGAGATTAAGTCTCACTGTGTTGCCCAGGCTCTTCTGGAACTCCTGTGCTCAAGTGATCCTTCTGCCTCAGCCTCCTGAGTAGCTGGGATTACAGGTGTGTACCACCATACCTGGCTTACAGCAGTGTTTTAAGTTACCTAAAGTTAAAGCTTATTTTCCCAAAACTGATTTTGCAGTAGCATAAAAAATTTTATTATGAGAGTATATCTAGCTAGCTGAAGAGAACAGAAGGAAGTACACTAGTAATACTAATTTTCATATAATTTGCTACAGACAGAAATGCTTTAAAAGGTGCCTTAATATTTTATAAAAACTAAATTTTGTTCCTTTGAATGAATAATCTCACTCTGCAGAACCTAGAAATAAAATGAAAGTCACCCTCAATGTCCCATTGTGCTTCAATATGTGAAAAGAAATGCTTTAAATATCATAGAAGGAGAAGTATTAACATGGTTACCCTAACACCAATACCCTAAAACTTCTTTTTGGTTGTTTTCTTGAGACAGGGTCTCACATTATAGCCCAGGCCACCCTCTACCTGCCTTAGCCTCCTGAGTGCTGGGGTTACAAGTGTGTACCACCACACCTAGCCTGAGATCCTAAAATATTTTTGTCATACAATTTCTGTAGGAACATTAAGGGTGCCTAATTCAGGACAGTAAAACTCAGCTTCATCTTACCTCAGCATTCCTTTAGTCCTGCACACCTTGTCTATCTCTCCTGATATCTACCCCCCCCCACCCCATCAAACATGGCACATACTGTGATCCCAGCTACTCAGGAGGCTGAGGCAGGAGCAAGTTCTAGGCCACCCTAGGCAACTTAGAGCCTGTTTCAAAATTTAAAAAGGGCTAGGGAGGTAGCTCAGTGTTACAGTGCCCCTGGGTTCAACACACAGTAACACACAACACACACAGTAGTTGTGCACACCTAGTAGGCTGAAGCAGGAGGATCACAAGTTCTGGGCCAGCCTGGGAATTTTGATAAGACTGTGTCTCAAAATGAAAATAGGACTAGGATGTAGCTCAGCATTCTCTAGGTTCAGTACCTACTCAGTACCATGAAAACCAGCCCCTTCCATTAGGGGGCTGTGAGAGGGTAGGGGTGTGGCTCAATGATAGAGCACTTGCTAGGCATGCATATTGCCCTGGGTTTAATCCCCAACACCACGAAAACAAACATTAAATTATCCAGGTAGCAGTTTATACTTGTCTACTCTTTCCATGACCTGAGAAAATAGAGGTAATTAAATTTACTCTGGTATTTTACATATTAGAGAATACTTCATTTTTTTCCACTTTAAATGTTTAAATTAATCTTAGGGCTGCTGATTTATCTCAGTGGTTCCGGTGCTTGCCTCGAAAGCCCAAGATCCCAAGTTTGATACCCGGTACCAAAAAAAAAAGATAAAGAATAAACTAATCCCACATGACTTCATTCTCTTAAAAATAATAAATAAAGGGCTGGGGATTTAGCTCAGTGGTTCCAGCGCCTGCCTTGCAAGTGCAAGGACCCGAGTTCAATCCCTGGTACCAATCAATCAATCAATCAATCAATCAATATGGGGGGCTCAGTTTACTGAAAGTCTAAGATTATCAAGTTACTCTGCTCAACTGTCCAATTCATAGTTTCAAGATCTGCAAAGAGAGCTCTACCCTTTTTTTTGTGGTATTGTGGCTTGAACCCAGGGCCACCTTTGTTTATTTATTTATTGAGACAATGTCTTGGAGGATTGTCTGAACTGGGCTTGAACTTGCAATCTTCCTGCTTCAGCCTCCCAGAGGGCGAGGATTGCAGGCATGAGTCACCACACCTGGCCATAGCTCTTCTTTACATTGAATAGCAATTACACCACTGCCCTTATCCTAATTTTTTTTAAGTAAACAAAAATGGCATTGATGCACTTTTGGATTACTTTGTTCTACTTTTTAAAGTAGATAAAGTGATAGTATTCCAATAACTCAAGAAAAACAGATTAGAAAATTAGAAACCATAGTAACATAAAACATTGAAAACTTTTAGCATAACCAAATAAAATTTTATCATGAATAATTATACGAATTACCAGTATCCAAAATTCACTGAAGTTATCCAATTACAAAAAGGAATATTAAAGAGGAATCAAATATCTTAATGTATCAAAGGTCTCACATGGTATAATAGTACAGTGAGCATGCCTTTTTATGTTCATACTAACTAATCAGTTTTAATTGGTATAATTACTACTTTGCTCTTCTACTATTCATTGTTGCTGAATACATAATTTCATCACAGGTTATAATTCATTCTTTGGCAGTATGTTAGTTGCAAACCCAGCATTTTCAATACATGTTTCCTTTTACAGAATTTGTATTATAAAGAATGCAGTGTAAATCCCTCTACTTCAGTGTTTAAAACTTGATAGTTTCGGCTGGACACAGAGGCCCACTCCTGTAATACCAGCATTCTGGGAGGCTGAGGCAGGAGGATCACAGGTTTCATTCCTGCCCGGGCAATTTAGCAAGACTCTTGAAGGAGAGAGATTGAGAAGGAGGAGGAGGAGGAAAGGAGGGGGAGAAGGAGGAAGTAAAGGAAGGAAGGAAGGGCAACCAAGTGGGGCATAGTGGTGTACACTTTAGAATCCTTGCACTCTGGATTACACTGAGGCAGGATAGCCACAAGTTCAAGGTCAGCCTGGGTTACACAGAGAGTTCACAGCCAGTGTGAACTACATTGTGAGACCCTGTCTCAGAAAAATCAGAGAAGAAAAATGAAGGAAAAGGCTGTGAATGTGATTTAGTGTGAAGGTCCTAAATCATCATTACTCTCTGGGGCATAACACATTTTTTGTCTTAAAGGTGCATAAACATAGGTGTGTCAAACACAAGTTTATTCTTTAGAATAGTTCTATTGATGAACTATTAATTTTAATTTTATGAGTTTTATGAGTGCTTAACAGGAAAAAATCACAAATATAAAGTATTTCATTTTTAATATTTATTGAGTGTTTATAAAAAAGCATCAAAAATTTCAACATCAACTGGTTTTTGGTGTACAAAGTCTAAAAGATAACATTAGAAATAAAAACCTATGTGAACTATAGTGAAAATACCAATGGCACGCTATAAAAAAAAACAACCGGAGCCAGGGATTTAGCTCAGTGGTTCCGGTGCCTGCCACACAAGCTCAAGGTCCTGAGTTTGATCCCTGGTACCAAAAAAAAAAAAAAACTTTTACTTCAGTGATCACACCTAAATCAGTCTTCATACATGACAACAGCACGTTCCATACACATGTATTGTTTACACTGGTAGCACATGTATTTTGCTTTCCTGGCCTTTTTGTAGGACATACTTGACATCTTTCTGGTCTTGCTGTTTAATCAGGAGGTTCTTGTATTATAGTATAGTTAACAGGAACATAAAATATCAATAAAATGAAGTATTAAATTCTTAATGTGTATTGTGCGTTTAGAATAAACAACATTTTCACATCAGCTGTTTAGTTGCTTATAAAACCTAAAAGATAACATCATAAATAAAAACCTATGTGAACTACAATGGAAATACCAATAAAACCTACAACAAAATAATTTTTGCTTCAGTTGTCACACTCAACTCAGTCTTCACATATAAAAATTGCATGTTCCATACACAAGTATCACTTACATGGATAGCATGTTATGTTTTGTTTTCCTGTCCTTTCTTGTAGGACAGAGTTGACATCTTTTTGGCTTTCCTTTTGTCGTAGTAGGTCTTTGGGATGCTATGCCTGCCTGTTCACCTGTCAGCTCACCAGTGTGCTCCACAATTTTTTTGTGTAGCTCTCTGGGCAGAAACATTTTGTTTTTCCTCTGCTGTAAATGATCTCTTATGAGTTCCAGTCCCAGTCCTCTAAGAAAATTTCTCCCTGGTATTTTGCACTTGTTATTTTCTTTGTAAACTATCAAACTATTTATGCCACACATGTTTAAGATCATTTTGAGTGACATCATAGTTGCTGCATAATTCATCAACAACATCTACTCCATCTTTGGTTTTGTTGTAGAAAGTTTCCATCTTTCCATCTCAGGAAAGTTTCTATCTCATTTTCCATCTCAGGCTTCTGTTTTGTCGAGGTTTTCCTATCAGTATTTCCATCATGGTACAATGTTGACATCACCAGTACCAGTTTGCTTTTCTTTGCCATATATGAGGCCAATGTAAATCTTTCTGAAATCCAAAGATTATACTATACAATTCTTGGTTTTGAAATTGCAACATTTTGTTTGGAATTTCTGCTTTATCCCTACATACAGTTCCTACCTACACTGGTCAACTTGTGCTTTGTTGGCAAATGTAACATTGATTGGAAACCGGTAAACCAAATGTCAAAAGTCATTTTCTGATTAGTTTGAGAGATGGAAGCAACAAGTCTGTTCACAGCATCGTTCAGTTTATTACTATATAAGTACCGAGTGGTTCAGTTCCAGGATAAATTTCTAAATTGAAAGCATAATAAGTCTTCACATCTACAAGGGCATAAATTTTTATGCCATATTTTGAAGTTTTTTTGGCATGTACTCCCTGAAGCTACAGTGGCCATGAAATGCTGCAAAATGTTCATCAATAGTCATGTATTCAGATAGTGTATAAATTTCTTTGCAATTACTCACAAATCTGTCAGTGAATGGATAGCAGCCAGATTATCAGTTCTTTTTCTTTCTTGGCAGGTGGTTTTGTCATCAAACCTCAGGCAATTTTTTTTAAGAAAAAAATTGTATTTACTTAGAAGCATTCAGAATGTCAACAAAACAGCTGCAACTTTTTTTTTTTTTTGCAATTACAGAGTGATATTTAGTTAACAGAACAACATTTTGGATAAGCTGAATCAGAGACAACTGAAGATGAAAAACTACTGTCCCCATATATAACAAATTTGTGCTGTGCACTAACATGAACTTGCTTTAAATTTCCAAGCCAATTTACAACCCCCATACTGTACAAGGCAAGGTTAGTGGCTATTGAAATACCACCAAGACAGGGCTATCTAAAGACAAATTCAGTAGTGTGTTAACTATACATTAAAAGACACTGTACAGTTTAAAAACAAATCTTACGAAGGCTTACATTTCAGTTTTTTTCTTTAAAAAGAGTGAGTCATGTACAGGGAGGTTAAATGCTTTATAGACAAGAAAAAAACTACTAAAACCAACTTATTCACATCATCATCATCTTCATCCTCTTCATCTTCCTCATATTCCTCCTCTTCTTTCTTTTTCTTGCTTTTTTCAGCCTTGTCAACTCTTTTTTTGCTGCATCAGGTTTTCCTTTAGCTCAGTAGACAGCGATGTCCTTTTCGTACTTTTCCTTCAGCTTGGCAGCCTTATTCTCATAAGGCTGCTTGTAATCTGCTGCAGTATTATT